GAGCTTTGAAGGCTGGTGGGAAGGAGCCTTTGAGTGAAATCTTAATCCCCTCCAGAGCTTTCCCTAATCCCTGGTAATGTGCTGTTCAAAGGCCCACTTCCAAAGGAACCACTGCACTTCCTCGCTCCCATATCCCTCCTTCCCCAAGGAACTGCCCCAAGGTGTTCCCACTGACTGTTTCCTCTCATTTTCCTCTGATACATAGAATTAATTATTTTAAAGCATAATGGATGAAGCAATTTCTGCAGCAGGCAGTGGCAAATCCAGCTGATTGATTGGGAGAGATTTTTGCTGTCAAGGATATAACAGTACTTCATTCCTCCCCCTTTTCCTGGAGGGGATCCACAGCCTTTCCCCACAATGTCCCGGTGCAACACTTCCAACTTTGAAATCAAACCTCAAAAATGTCTGTGTGTGTGTGTGTGTCTGTGTGTGTCTGTGTGTCTGTCTGTGCACAGGTCAGCTCTGTGTGTGTGTGTGTGTGTGTGTGTGTCTGTGTGTGTCTGTGTGTGTGTGTGTGTGTGTGTGTACAGGTCAGCTCTGTGTGTGTGTGTGTGTCTGTCTGTCTGTGCACAGGTCAGCTCTGTGTGTGTGTGTGTGTCTGTCTGTCTGTCTGTGCACAGGTCAGCTCTGTGTGTGTGTATGTCTGTGTGTCTGTCTGTGTACAGGTCAGCTCTGTGTGTGTGTCTGTCTGTCTGTCTGTGTACAGGTCAGCTCTGTGTGTGTGTGTGTGTCTGTGTGTGTCTGTCTGTCTGTCTGTGCACAGGTCAGCTCTGTGTGTGTGTGTGTCTGTCTGTCTGTCTGTGTATAGGTCAGCTGTGTGTGTGTGTCTGTCTGTCTGTCTGTGCACAGGTCAGCTCTGTGTGTGTGTGTGTCTGTCTGTCTGTCTGTGCACAGGTCAGCTCTGTGTGTGTGTGTGTGTCTGTCTGTCTGTCTGTGCACAGGTCAGCTCTGTGTGTGTGTGTGTCTGTCTGTCTGTCTGTGCATAGGTCAGCTCTGTGTGTGTGTGTGTGGTGTGTGTGTCTGTCTGTCTGTGCACAGGTCAGCTCTGTGTGTGTGTGTCTGTCTGTCTGTCTGTGCACAGGTCAGCTCTGTGTGTGTGTGTCTGTCTGTCTGTCTGTCTGTGCACAGGTCAGCTCTGTGTGTGTGTGCATGTGCCTGTGTGTGACATGGCTGCAGCTGTGGGTACGGGTCTGTGTGCACACGTGTGTGCATGGTTTTGTTTGTGCGTGCACGCCCGTGTGTTCCCCCATGTCCCCGTGTCCGTGTGTCCCCATGCCTGTGTATCCCTGTCCTGTGTATCCCACACCTCCATGTTCATGTCTCATGTCGCCATGTCCCCTGTGTCCCCGTGTCCATGTGTCCCCCTATCCCCATGTCCCTATCCCTGTCCCCACGTCCGTGTGTCTCCCTGTCCCTATATCCCTGTCCCCATATCCCTATCCCTGTGTCCATGCACCCCCATCCCCATGTCCCTATCCCTGCTGCCATGTCCGTATGTTCCCTTGTCCTTATCCCTGTCACCATGTCTGTGCGCTCCCATCCCCATGTCCCTATGTCCATGTGTCCCCCTGTCCCCATATCCCTATCCCCATGTCCCCCATCCCTATGCCTGTCCCCATTTCCCCATATCCCCCTGTCCCTATCCCTGTCCCTATGTCCCCATGTCCCTGTCCTTATCCCTGTCCTCATATCCCTATCCCTGTCCCCCTGTTCCTATCCCTGTCTCCATGTCCGTGTGTCCCCCTGTCCCTCTGTCCCCTATCCCTGTCCCCCTGTCCCCCTGTCCCCCTGTCCCTGTCCCTCTGCCCCGCCCCACTCTCGACGCATCTCCGCCCCGCCCCTCGCGCATGCGCACAGCCCTTCCCGGGCGGCGCGGCCGTGACTCCGCCCCGGCCGCGTGCGGCGGTACCGGGACCCGCCGGGACCCGCACCGGGAGTCATCGGGACACACCGGGACCCACACCAGGACCCTCCCCGGGACTCCCGGGACACACCGAGACCCACACCGGAACTCCCCCCGGGACCCTCCGGGATCCCCCAGACCCCCCGGGCCATGAGCGCCGCGGAGCCGCCGGGCCGCGGGATGCTGTTCGCCGAGACCCAGCTGAGGCGGCACGGCTGGCGCCGAGGTGGGGCCGGGCGGGGTCCCCGCACCGCGGTCCGGCCTGTCCCGCCCCAAGCCCCGGGACCCCCTGAGCGCCCCCGGCTCCCCCAGACTCCGATCCCCCCCAGAGCCCCCTGTCCCCAGTGCCCCCCAAGCCCCATCTTCCCCAGCTCCCTCCGGGCCCCAGCTATCCCCAAGCCCCAGGACCCTCCCAGTCCCGTCCCCAGAGCCCCGGGACCCTGCAGACCCCAGCAGACCCTGGTCCCGTTCCCAGAGCCCCAGGACCCTGCAGACCTTCCAGACCCCAATGGTCCCAGATCCCCGGGACCTGCAGCCCCCCGTCCCCACCCCAGACCTCAATGGTCCCAGAGCCCCGGGACCCTTCAGACCCCAGTCCCCACCCCAGAGCCCCGGGACCCTGCAGCCCCCGGTCCCCACCCCAGACCCCAATGGTCCCCAGAGCCCCGGGACCCTGCAGATCCCAGTCCTGTCCCCAGATCCCCGGGACCTGCAGCCCCCCGTCCCCACCCCAGACCCCAATGGTCCCAGAGCCCCGGGACCCTGCAGCCCCCCGGTCCCTACCCCGGACCCCAGTGGTCCCCAGAGACCCGGGACCCTGCAGATCCCAGTCCTGTCCCCAGATCCCCGGGACCTGCAGCCCCCAGTCCCCACCCCAGACCCCAATGGTTCCCCAAGCCCCGGGACCCTTCAGACCCCAGTCCCCACTCCAGAGCCCCGGGACCCTGCAGCCCCCGGTCCTCACCCCAGACCCCAATGGTCCCCAGAGCCCCGGGACCCTGCAGCCCCCCGGTCCTCACCCCAGACCCCAATGGTCCCAGAGCCCGCCCCCCTCCCTGCAGCACCCAGTCTGGACCTCTCCCCACTCTCGGGGTCCTGCAGCCCCGGTGCCCCCGGTGTCCCGGGCCGTGCGGGGGTGACGCTGCCTTGTGTGCAGGGCAGGGGCTGGGCAGGCGGGAGGACGGCATCGCCGAGGCCATCCGGGTGAAGGTGAAATGCGACACGGCCGGGGTGAGTCCCGATCCCCGCCCTGCCCCGCCCGGTGCCGCTGCCCGGTGCAGCCATTCCGGCAGCTCTCTGCACCCCGCAGGTGGGACACGACGCGGCAGAGCCCTTCACCTTCCACTGGTGGGACCACGTCTTCAACAAGGCGGCTGCCAACATCGCTGTGCAGGCCGGGCAGGTTGGAGGGATGGGGTTGAAGGCAGGGTTGGAGGGTGTTTGGGTTCCTTTGGTCACTCTTGTAGTGCCACCGTATCCCACAGGCCCTGTCAGGAAGCAGCACCTTGCACAGGGGCTGTTGTGGTGGAAAGGTGCAGCTTGGACAGATCATTTCCAAGGCTTTGCCTTCTCTCTCCCAGGATGGCATCTCTGTGAAGGCACTTTCTGAGCAGGGAGGCAGCATCAGCAATAAGAAGCCACGCAAGGCTGGCAGCAGCGGGAGCCTGCTGTACGGCCGCTTTGTGAAGGTGACTGTCCCCAGGAGCTTTGGGCTGCTGTGGCCCCAGAACCCCGTTTTCCTTGTCCCCCTTTCTCACAGTCCCTCTGTTCTGTGCTGCAGTCAGCCACGCTCACAGCCTGTGGGGAGGAGTCAGTGCCAGCCAGCTCTGAGAGCAGTCAGGAGGAGGAGGAGGAGAAGCTGGACCTCTCTTCGGTCAGGAGGTGAGGCTGGGCTCACGGGGAGGGACGAGGCCTGAAAGGAGGAGCTGTGTTCCCCACAGATGTTGGGGTGACAGCTCCTGTCTGTGTCCCCAGGCTGACGGACGAGGAGCTGGTGCAGGCGTGCGGGGGCCGCACAGCACACAAGTGAGTGCCTGGGGGGCCAGGGCTGCCCCCTCCTCGCAGCCTGGGCTGGGGAACACCTTCCTGTTGGGGAACTTCACTGCCTGTGGTCATTGCAGGGGTGCCCGGCACGGCCTGACCATGAGTGCCAAGCTGGCACGCCTGGAGGAGCAGGAACGAGCCTTCCTGGCCACGTACCGGCAACGGGAGCAGCAGCAGGAGCCCCCAGAGAGCAGCCAGGGCAAAAAGAAGAAAAGGAAACGGTCCAGGGATAGAGCTGAGGTGCCACAGAGCCAGGAACCAAACACAGAAGAGGAGGAGGTGTTGGAAGAAGAAAAGGTTGTGAAGAAGAAGAAAAAGAAGCAGGGGCCAAGCAGAGAAGAGGAGGTGACAGGAGAGGAGGAGGTCATGAGAAAGAAGAGGAAGAAGAAGGTGATCACGGAGCCGTGTGGAGAAGAGGTATCAGGAGAGGAGGGGAAGGTCATGAAGAGGAGGAAGAAACCAGAGCTAAGCACAGAAGAAGAGGTGGTGGAAGAGGATGGGAAGGCTGCAAAGAGGAGAAAAAAGAAAAAGAAGAAGAAGCAGGAAGAGGAGGACAAAGAAGAGCCAGCTGAAACAGAGACAGATGAGCCAAAGTTGGGACACAGCCCTACAAAGAAGAGGAAGAAGAAGAAGCAGGAAGAGGAGGATGAAGAAGAGCCAGCTGAAACAGATGTACCTCTACAAGAGACAGATGAGCCAAACTTGGGACACAGCCCTACAAAGAAGAGGAAGAAGAAGAAGAGGAAGAAGGAGCCAGAGTGAGCCAGTGACATGGCTGCCATGCAGTCCCACCTGGCTGTAAGGGTCCTGATCCTGGTGCTGGTGGGTGCCATGGGCTGCTCTGAGCTCGTTCCAGACGGAGCCCAGCACTGTGGCCCAGCTGCCTGGGGATGCTGAGCTAGGACAAGTTGGTCTGGAGCTGGATCAAGCTTGACTTCACCACCTGAACCTTCAGGAGTGACCCTGGTTCCCCCCAGGCTCTGGGGCAGGGACCCATTTATCATGGGCCTGTCACAGAAGGACACAAGGAGTACCCTGCAGAGTACTAAAGTATTTTTTCAAGGGCATGAATAAATCTTTATTGTGATCAGCTTATCCCAAAGCGTGAGTGGTGCCATGAGTGGCAGAACCCCAGATCACCTTACACCTGCAGCACTTGCATTAGGCAGCAGCCCCAAAGAGAGCAGCCCCTCACCACTCCCACCTGCTGGGCTTTTCCATCCTGCAGGCTCACACCAGAGCCCAGTGAGGTGCTGAGCACCCTCCTGGCAGAGCTTGGGCAGAATTTGGCCCTGGTGTGCAGTGCTGAAGCCAGGCCTGGCCCCCAGCCCCTCTGGGCCAGCTCTAGGTGAGCTGCAGGACGCAGTCTGTGCCAGGGTACTCCGGCAGGTTCAGGCTGTATTTCTCCTGCAGCGCAGGGGGCACAAACCTGCCCCCAAGGAAGTGGTACCGGCCTGTGAAATGCATCGCTGCCTTCTTGGGCGCCGTCAGGGAGATGAGCATGTCGGGCTGGAGGCCGTCTGCCTTCCCCTTCTCCACATCCCAGCCTGCAACGAGCCACGGCCAGGCTGGAGCTGGGAGCACCCTGGCTGGGCACCATCCTGCAGCAGGTGCAGCCACAACTCACCTGAGGGGATGTCAATGCTGGCAATGGGCACCGTGACACGCTCCAGAGTGCTCAGGATGCTGCCAAAGGGCTCCCGCACCGCTCCCGTGAAGCTGAAGCCGAAAATGGCATCCACCACCAGGCCGTAGAGCTCATCAATGAACTCAGCCTGCGGTGGGGATGGTGGCAGGTGAGGAGCAGTCCTGGCCACAGCTCCAGGGGCAGGTGCTGCCAAGCTGGGGGCTGCTCCTCACCTCAGCTGGGAACTCGGGGAGGAAGGGAATATCCATCTTGTTGCACTGGGTGGTCAAACCTTCAAAGAGGGGCTTGCTGGAGCGCTTGGGGTAGTACACAGTCGGCTGGTAGCCCTGCAAGAGCAGAAGGAACCTGAACTAATCCCACTCTGGCACCAGCAGCAGCCAGAGGAGTGGGACCCTGGAGCCCACAGGGGTGCACAGGACCAGCACCCTCACGGGGATCCTGTGCAAGACTCACAAACATCTTCAGGTGCCTGGCACAGACCAGCCCATCACCGCCGTTGTTCCCTGGCCCGCAGACCACCAGCACAGCAGGCTGGCTCGTGGTGAAGGAGCTGGGTGGGTAGGCCTGATGGGGGGCAAGAGGCACAGGGTTAGGATGGGGAAGTGGGCTCACACCATGGAGCCAGGATTTGCAAGTCCCCCAACTTTGGACTGGCCTGCCCATGGCACTGGGATGATTCCCAGGATCACCATCTGCCTCCCTGGTGCCCATCTTGGTGGTGGCACAGATTGGTACACAATGCTAGGACCCCCAGGATGGTGGTGGGGATAGCACTCAGCCTGTAGTGCTGGAACTCTCTCCCAGGACCTCCACCCACCTCCTGGGCACCCACCCTGGCAGTGGCACAGCTCAGCCCACAATGCCAGGATCCCCACCTCGCTGCTGGCAATGGCACAGCTCAGCCCACAGTGCCAGGACCCCCTTCTGCCCCCCAGGACCCCCACCTTGGCAATGGCAGTGGCACAGCTCAGCCCCGCCAGCTCCATCAGCTGATCCACGCTGAACTTGTACTCAGTGAAGAGCTCCTGGTCGATAGCCTGGGCCTCCTCCTGCCTAGGGTGGGACACGGCACCGCTGGGTACCCCAAAACCCGGCCAGGCCCAGCCTGGGGGCTGTGATCCCCTCGCCTTTGCATGACCGGGGGGGACACACAGAGCCGAGCCCCCGTGTACACCCGCACCCCATCCCCGACCCCTCCTCAGCCCGCCCGTACCCCGGCCCGGCGCCCCCGGGGCCCGCCCGCCTCCTCTCCCGCCTCCCTCCCTCCTCCTACCCGAGGAAGCGGAGCCCCTTCGGGCCGGCCCCCGGGCTGGGGACGTGCATGGCGCGGCGGGGCAGGCACCGGCACCGCTCCCGGTCCAAACCCCAGCTCCAGCCGCGCTCCCCGCACCGCCCGCCCGCCCGCGCCGCCGCCACCAGCAGCCCCAGGCCCAGCAGCGCCCGCGGGCCCGGCATGCGGCGGGCACGGCCCGGTACAGCCCCGGAGCGGACACAGCCCGGTACAGCCCAGCACGGCCGGAGCTCCACGGAGCAGGCGCGGGGCCGCCCCGGGGCGGAGCGCCCTTCACGGCCCGGGGAGGAGCCGCGGAGAGGCCGCGCTTCCTGCAGGCCCCGCCGGGACTCGGCGGTTCCTCCAGTCGCTGCCGCCACTCCGCCGTTCCCCCAGCCCCGTCGGCACTCCGGCTCCCTTCAGTCCTTGCCGGCTCTCCGCCGTTCCCCCAGCCCCGCCGGCTCTCCAGGTCCCTTCAGGCCCCACCGGCTCTCCGCGATCCCCCAGCCCTGCCGGCTCTCCGCCGTTCCCCCAGGCCCCACCGGCTCTCCGCGATCCCCTAGCCCCTTCCTTTCCTCCCCGTGACATACAAAGGATGGCAGAAACAGAGCGGGGTCAGAACCGTGTTGGCTGAACGGCCCACCCTCCCCTCCGGTTTGGGCCTGCACAGCCCCCCGAGAAGCGGCGTTTCCCTGGTGTCCTCCCGGTCACACGAGGCTACAGACGAGGGACAGAGTCCTGGTGGCCGTGCGGGGTCCCCGGCGGGACCAGCAGCCGGCAGCAGTAGCAGCGGGGTCATTGTCACGGCTGCAAGGTCATGGAGGCGTAATGGGGAGTGAGGGTGTCCAGCAGGATGCAAAATGGAATAATCAAATCACGGAGTCACTGACTGGTTTGGGTGGGAAGGGATCTTAAAGCCCATCTCCCATGGGCAGGGACACCTTCCATTGTCTCAGGTTGCTGCAATCCCTGTCCAACCTTGCCTGGAACGCTTCCAGGGATGAGGCAGGCACAGCTTCTCTGTGCCAGGGCCTCCCCACCCTCACAGGGAAGAGTTCCTTTCCTATATCCCATCCAACGCTGCCCTCTGGCAGTGGGAAGCCATTGCCCCTTGTCCTGTACCTCCAGCCCTTGTCCAAAGTCCCTCTCCAGCTCTGTTGGAGCCTCTTTAAGCACTGGAAGGCAGGAATGGGCAAGAGGTTCATACCAGGGGACTGGAAACCACCCTTAGATCTGCTGTCCCATCCATAGGGTATGGTTTTGGTGTGGGCTATGAGGTACCAATATCCCCAGCCCCTGTGACTTTTGGCTTGGGATCATGTCCATTCCAAGAAACAGCTCTGCTGGGTTCATGAGGTTCCACTCATGAACCCTCCTCCCCTCTGGAGCCCAAGCCTCCCTTGCCCACTCCCCCAAGGCATCACCTACCTCTCTGGAGGCCTCTGATGGAGGGTTTGGTGTTTTTGGTGCCCTGTGGGATGCAGTGTGAGACCCTCAGGCCTGGGCTCACTGCAGAATTGATGTTCTGGTGGTCTGTGGTACTTACGGAGCTGGAGGCTGGCATGGGGCAGCTTGGCCGGGGGCAGGGGGCTGGTGGTCCTCGTGCTGAGAGACAAGTGAACCTCATGTGGGGCTTCTGGACAGCTCCCCTGTCACATCATGGCTGGATCCCCCCCAGGATCCAGCTGGAATGACCCCAAACACACTCCCAGAATTATGTATCTAAAAATCTCTGGGTTTTCACTGTTAAACAGGAGAGGTCCCTTGTGCTGCAGAGGTATTTGGGTTCCAGGGGCTGTACTGAGGTGCCTCCCCCTTGCCCACCCACCTGTTAGCCTGGGGCTCACTGTGATACCCTGGAGCTGAGCTGGGACCATCATCATCCTCCCCAGAGGTGCCCAGGAGGCCACTTGGGTTGCAAGGCTCCAGTGAGAGACCACCAGTCAGGGCCACTCTTGTGCCTCCAGGACAAACAGACAAGAGCACAGTATCAGACTGTGCCAAAGACTCAGCTCCACCAGGAACTGCCTGATGGCTCAACCCCATGTTTAATTTGCAGCCTCTCACCTGAATACCTGGGATGTGCTCCTGGTGCACACCAGTACAGCTCGTCCTCAGCCTGGGCTTTCCCCCTGAAGGACATGGAGTGAAGGAAGGCTTGTCTCCTGGTTGATCTGGAAACTCATTCCAGAGGAAGGAGAGAGAGAGGATGGCAGCTTTGCTACTCACACCTTGCTCCCCTGGAGCTGTGTCCTACTGGCACGGGGCAGTGTGGAGCAAAACCGCAGCTGGCTGGGCTCCTGATGGGACGAACATGTGTTAATGTGCCCAGCAAAGCCCTACTGGGGTCCCAGTTCCCAGCCCTCCAGAGCGTGCCATGCCCAGGCTGATGCTCACCAGGCCTGGGTTAGGGTAGGAGAGGTGGCTGAGGTGGAGTCGGTGCTGGATGGCATCTGTGAGCTTGTGCACCACCCGTTTGTGGGCAGCTCTGGGGCTGTCCTGTGATGGAGAGAACCCGAATGTGTGATGGGCTAAGTGTGTGCACCCTGGGCTGAGGCCAGTGCCCCATCATGCCTTACCTGACAGCGGGAAAGCAAAACCAGGGCCTCCTGATAGTGCTCGATGGCTTTCTGGGGATGTCCCAGGTGCAAATACGCTGCACCCAGCCCCTCACACGCTTGCCACTGCCCCTGCAAGTCCCCTGGGAGGCAAAGGGCTGCTCAGCTGAGATCCCCAGCAGGCAGCATTGCCCAGCCTGAGCCCGCTGGGCTGTGGGATGTGCCTGCCCTCACCCGAGTCCCTGAAGGCCTGCAGGGCGTGCAGGTAGCTCTCGGCAGCATCCCCGTGCTTCCCCAGCTGGCTGCAGGCGAACGCCAGGTTCCCAAAGCTCTGCCCCTGAGCCCTGCAGTTCCCCAGAGCACCTGGAATGGGAATTTTATGCTGAGCTGTCTGGCACAGCCAAGGGCAGGGATGGAGGTGTGGGGTACCGGTGTGGGGTACTGATGTGAGGTACTGGTGTGGGGTACCGGTGTGGGGTACTGGTGTGGGGTACCGGTGTGGGGTACCGATGTGAGGTACTGGTGTGGGATACCAGTATGGGGTACTGGTGTGAGGTACCAGTGTGCGGTACTGGGGTACCAGTGTGAGGTACTGGTGTGAGGTACCAGTATGGGGTACCACTGTGTGGTATCAGTGTGGGGTACTGATGTGAGGTACTGGTGTGAGCTATAGGTGTGAGGTACAGGTGTGGGGTACCGGTGTGGGGTACTGATGTGAGGTACTAGTATAAGGTATATGTGTGAAGTATAGGTGTGGGGTACCAGTGTGGGGTACCGGTGTGAGGTACAGGTCTGGGGTACCGGTGTGGGGTACCGGTGTGAGGTACTGGTGTGGGGTACTGGTGTGAGGTACAGGTGTGTGGTACCGGTGTGAGGTATCGGTGTGCGGTACTGGTGTGAGGTACCAGTGCCAGGTACCAGTGTGAGGTACAGGTGTGAGGTCCCGGTGTGGGGTACCGGTGTGCAGTACCCGTGCCCGTTACCAGTGCGAGGTACCAGTGTGTGTGAGGTACCGGTCTACAGTACCAGTGTGAGGTACCGGTGTGTGTGAGGTACCGGTTTGGGGTACCGATGTGCAGTACCGGTGCCCGTTACCAGTGCGAGGTACCGGTGTGTGTGAGGTACCGGTGCCCGGTACCGGTGTGCGGTACTGGTGTGTGTGAGTTACCGGTGTGTGTTAGGTACCGTGCAGCGCGGCCGCTCGCCGGTGCCAGCCCAGCGCGGTGCCGAAGCTGCGCAGGGCGTTGAGGGCCGCGCCCAGGTTCTGCAGCAGCGCCGCCTCCCGCTGCCGGTCCCGCTCCCCGCCGCACAGCCCCAGCGCCCGCTCGAAGCTCTCGGCAGCCAGGGAGAAGATGTGCAGCTGCGAGTAGCCGAGCCCGATGTCGCTGTAGAGTTTCCCTGAGGGCAGAGAGGAAAAGCAGGCGTGGGAGCTGCCGCGCAGGGCCCTGAAAGGGGAGGGCGCGGCGTTACCTCGCAGGGCCGGGTCGGGGATGGATTCGCAGAGCGAGCGGCACCGGGCGAGGACGCCGGCGATGTCCGCGGCCCGGAACCGCCGGCTCTGCAGCATGGAGCCGCTCGCCCTGCTCAGAGCCACGGCCGCGGCCCCGGGGCTCTCCGCCGCCGCGTAGGCCTGCGCCGCGTCCAGGAAGCACCGCGCGGCCCGCGCCGGCTCCCGCATGCCCAGGTAGCAGCAGCCCATCTGCACGCAGGTCCCCGCTCGGCTGCCAGCCTGAGCAGCACCGGCGTGCCCGGAGACTTGCTCAAAACACTCCAGAGCCTTTGGAAAATCCTGGAGCCCTTCGTGAGCCGCCCCGACGCTGAAATAAAGGCTCCCTGAGTGGTCCCCGCTCTCCGCCTCTGAGGGCTGGGACTGGAGGAGGAACTCAAAGCCCTTTTTGGGCTTCCCAGTCTCCACGTAGGCAGCTCCCAGGTTGAAGGCACAAGCCCTGTGGAGCCGGGGGCTCGCTGTGTCCCTGGAGAGGAGCAGGGCTTTCCTGAAGCACCCCACTGCCTCCCGCGCCGCGCCCAGGGCCAGCGCCCGGTGTCCGGCCCGTGTGAGGGCCTCGATGGCGCCCACCCGCCCTGCCGCCTCATCCCCTCCCTCCTGAGCGCCTGCCCTGGCCTCAGCCGCCTTCTTCTTCTTCTTCTGGCTCTTCTTGCAGCTGGAGGGGGCTGCGGGGGTGGTGGGAACAGTGGGGTGTGTGGGAGCTGTGGGGGCAGTAGGGACAGAGGGGACAGAAGGGTGTGTGGGGACAGAGGGGGCAGAGGTGTGTGTGGGGGAAGAGGGGTGTGTGGGGGCTGTGGGGTCAGAGGGGACAGTGGGGTGTGTGGGGGCTGTGGGGGCAGTAGGGACAGAGGGGACAGTAGGGTGTGTGGGGACAGAGGGGGCAGAGGGGTATGTGGGGGCAGTGGGGACAGAGGGGGCAGAGGGGTGTGTGGGGGCAGTGGGAACAGAGGGGAGTGTAGGGTGTGTGGGGGCAGTGGGGTGTGTGGGGGAAGAGGGGGCAGAGGAGGCAGTAGGGTGTGTGGGGGCTTTGAGGACAGAGGGGGCAATGGGGTGTGTGGAGAGAGAGAGGGCAGTGGGGTGTGTGGGGTCAGAGGGGACAGTGGGGTGTGTGAGGGCAGAGGAGTGTGTGGGGGCAATGGGGTGTGTGGGGGCTGTGGGGACTATGGGGGCAATGGGGTGTGTGAGGGCTGTGGGGTGTGTGGGGACAGTGGGGTGTGTGGGGGCTGTGGGGACTATGGGGGCAATGGGGTGTGTGGGGGCTGTGGGGACAGAGGGGAGTGTAGGGTGTGTGGGGGCAGTGGGGTGTGTGGGGGAAGAGGGGGCAGAGGAGGCAGTAGGGTGTGTGGGGGCTGTGAGGACAGAGGGGGCAATGGGGTGTGTGGAGAGAGAGAGGGCAGTGGGGTGTGTGGGGTCAGAGGGGACAGTGGGGTGTGTGAGGGCAGAGGAGTGTGTGGGGGCAATGGGGTGTGTGGGGGCTGTGGGGACTATGGGGGCAATGGGGTGTGTGGGGGCTGTGGGGTGTGTGGGGATTGTGGGCTGCACTTCCAGCTCAGCAGCCTCTTCCAAATCCATGGGCAGGGGCAGCAGCCTGCCTGCAAGAGAGAGAGGTGCTTAGGCAGCCAAGCCAGCATGGTCCAGCACTTCAAGTGAGCAGCATTATTTTATATTATTTATGAAAATTAGGGATGGCTTGTAGCCCGTTTGCTATTAAGTTTCAGGAAGGAAAAAGGCCTTTCCATGGAGGACCCCACAAACCTTGGTAGCCATGAGAGAGGAAAGAGGTCACTGGGGGAGGAGGAGGAGGGACACCACAGCATGGAGTGGGATGTTGCTGGGGTGCCTTTTTGGGAGGCAGGATAACGGGTTGCACTCACTGTTTTCTCTTCAGGTGCAAAGGGTGCTGAGAGCAGGGAGCAGAGAGATGAGGCATCCCCAGCGCCGCAGCTGCGTTTCTGCCACCAGCCAGGGCCCTCTGCTGCAGGGATGGAGGATGTCTGAGGCACCTCCGAGCTTGGGCTGCCTGGAAAGGTGCCTGGAGCAGGTCACAGTTCTGAGACAGGAGCGTGGCAGGCGGTGGCACAGGCTGGGACAAAGCCAGCCCTGTTCCTGGGAAAGCACATCCCACAATGGCCCCGCTGGCTCCAGTTTCAGCCCTGTCACCAGCGTGGCGTGCAGTGCCATGGCAACTCGGTGCAGCAGTGCCAGTGTGAGCCCTGTGAGGGATGGAGGGATGGGAAAACTGTGTGGTGGACTGTGGTGGTGTTCACAGGGGTCCCAAGACCAGGGAAGAGACGAGAATCTGACTCCATGTTTCAGAAGGCTTGATTTATTATTTTATTTTTATATATATATATATATATATATATATATATATATATATAAAATATTAAAACTATACTAAAAGAATAGAAGAAAGGATTTCATCAGAAGGCCAGCTAAGAATAGAAAAAGAATAACAAAATCCTGTGACTCACCGAGCTAGACTGTGATTGGTCATTAATTAGAAACGACTTGGACACACTGCTCTTTTCAAGGTAAAAAGGGATTTTTCATTTCTGACTCCAACATTTATAGGTTTCCAAAAGCGACAGTGAGTTGGAGGGTGACAGTGCCACCCCTCCAATGACACTGGACAAACCAACAGTCCATCAAATTTCTCCTCCTCCTTAAAGAATGCAAAACAATGAGTTATTTACAGAAAGTCTGTGAGAAAGTTCCTTAAAAGAATGTAAACATCAGAAGGCTTAGAAAGCTTAGAAAATCTTAAAAAATCAGGACGACACCGGTGTCCTGCTCCCCACTCTCCCGGTGCCCTAGTGCTCCCTGAGCTCCCCCGTATGTGTCCCACGCTCTCCCCCTCCGGTGTCCCCGTGTCCCGCTTTCTCGGGGTTCGGGGTCCCGGAGTCCCCGTGCCTCGCTGTCCCCGGGGTCCCAGTGCCGCCGTTCACTGGTGTCCCGGTGTCCCGCGGTCCCCGTGTCCCGCTTTCCCGGGGTTCGGGGTCCCGGGGTCTCCGTGGCCCGCTATCCCGGGGTCCCAGTGCCGCTGCTCCCCGGAGCCCCGCTGTCCCCCTATCCCGGGGTCCCATTTTCCCATGTTCGGGGTCCCGGAGTCCCCGTGCTCCGCTGTCCCGGGATCCTAATGCCGCCGTCCCCCGGTGTGTCGGGGTCCCGCGGTCCCCGTGTCCCGCTTTCCCGGGGTTCGGGGTCCCGGTGTCCCGGTGCCGCCCTTCCCCGCTGTCCCAGTGTCCCGTGCCCCGATGTCCCGGTATCCCGCTCCCCGATGTCCCGTGTCCCGTGCCCCGGTGTCCCGGTGTCCCGCTGCCCGGCAGGCCCCGCGCGCAGCCACGTGGGCGGCGGGAGATTCAAACCTCGGGCGGAGCCACCGCAGCCACCGCGGCCATGGAGGGAGCGGGGCCGGGGCGCTGTGAGTGACCGGCAGCGGGGGGCACCGGCGGGCTGAGAGGCACAAGGATGAAAGGAGCGGGAATGTCCGGGGCGCAGGGGACGGGAGGGGGACAAGGCTGGGGTACAGCGAGCTGGGGGAAAACAGGTAAGGCTGGGGGGACAAGGGAAGGGGGAACAGGCGGGTTTGGGGTGCAGGGGAATGTGGGGGGACAGGTAAGGTTGGGGGTTGGGGATAGGGGAACCAACAAGCCTGGGGTGTAAGGGAATGTGAGGGGACAGGTAGGACTGGGGGGGCAGTGGGATGTGGGGACAGGTAAGGGTGGGTGGGGGGGGCAGGGGATGTGGGGAACAGGAGGGTTTGGGGTGCAGGGAAATGTGGGGGGACAGGTAAGACTGGGGGGGCAGGGGATGGGGGAACAGGCGGGTTTGGGGTGCAGGGGAATGTGGGGACAGGTAAGGCTGGGGGGCAAGGGATGGGGGACAGGTAAGGCTGGGGGGGTAGGGGGATGTGTGGCCAGCTGTGGGGTGCACATGGGGGCAGGGACTCTGGCTGTGCAGAGGGATGGGGGGATCAGTCGGATTTAGGGGTGCAGGGGGTTGAGGGGGAACACATGTGGGTAGAGTGATGGCGGTGGCAAGGTGCCAGGCCCTGGGGACAAACGGGGGGTGCCATATTTTGAGGGATAGTTTGTTGGGAGGCAGCCGGGTGCCCCCCAGAAGTCATGGGTGCCTCCAGCACCAGCAGCAGGGTAAAAGGACCCCAAACCTGTAGCTGTGTTCCCTTGAATGCTTGCTCTGTGCCCTCCCCCACTCCAGTGCCAGCTCTGATGGCCGTTATTTGGGAAAAAGGGAAATTGGAAACTTCCCTTCCACTGCCAGGACTGTGACGTTGGTGCCACTCCCACGGCGCCTCTGAGAGGCTACTGCACGCAAAGCCTGACTCCCTTTCCCAAATCATAGTTTCAGTGGCCATGGGGGCTTCAAAAAGCCTCCCTGAGCAGGGGGCTCTGATGGGAGACCTCCTTTGTGCCCAGGTGAGCGCCTGACTGCCGATGAGATGGACGAACAGAGGAGGCAGAACGTGGCCTACCAGTACCTGTGTCACCTGGAGGAAGCCAAGCGGTGGGGCTGCTTTGGGGAGATCCTCGAGCTCACGTTTTGGGGGGAAAAGGGGTGGTAAGGGGAGGGATGGGGGGAATGGGTGGGGAGCAGCTTAGCTTTTGAAAAGCAAAAGTTTCTTAGGGGAATCCAGAGTTTTTAGGGAGCAGCTGAGGGAAGTTGTTCCCCTTCAAGGCAGGATTTAGGGTTATGTTGAATTTTAGGGCTGTTCTGAGATCCTGAGTGAGCCCAGTGGGTTTTGGGTGATGAAACTCAGTGAGGTGTGATGGGATTTTCATGGAAATGAACCAGGGAATCCTGTCCTGGGGCTTATCCTGCAGAATGCTGCTTGGATCCTGTGGCTTTATGGCTCCTCAAAGCTGGTTGGGGGGTTGTGGTTTTTTGTGGGGGGACACTCAGCCCTCCACCCAAACTGAAAACCACCCAGCAGCAAAAGCCTGAGGGCTGAGCTCCCCTGCCAGGGGGGATTTATTGGAATGGAGTTGTGAGGGGAATGTCCTTTGGGTGCTTTTCTCTGGGGGTCTCTGCCATGCCCTGTCCCTGCCCTGGCAGCTGGATGGAAGCCTGTCTGGGTGAGGAGCTGCCCCCACCCACGGAGCTGGAGGAGACCCTGCGCAACGGGGTCCTCCTGGCCAAGCTGGGCCACTGCTTTGCCCCTGCTGTTGTGCCACTGAAGAAGATCTACGACCCTGAACAGACACGGTACAAGGTAAGGCTGTGGCACCAGAGGAAGGTGTAGTAGCTCTTAGGGTTACTTTCCCTCTCTGGTGAGTGCAGGGTGAGGAGGGACTCGCTGACAGCTATGACGGTGTTCACAGGGGTCTTAGGATGAGGGAAGAGATGAGGATCTGACTCCATGTTTCCGAAGGCTTGATTTGTTATTTTATAATATATATTACATTAAAACTATCCTAAAAGAATAGAAGAAAGGATTTCATCAGAAGGCTGGCTAAGAATAGAACAAGAAGGAATGATAACAAAGGTTTGTGACTCAGGCTCTCTGTCCGAGCCACCTGGGCTGTGATTGGCCATTAATTACAAACATCCAATATGGGCCAATCCCAGATGCACCTGTTGCATCCCACAGCAGCAGATAACCATTGTTTACATTTTGTTCCTGAGGCCTCTCAGCTACTCAGGAGGAAAAAATCTTAAAGAAAGGATTTTTCATAAAAGATGTCTGCGTCAGACAGCAGTCACTGAGGGACTGCTCTGTAAGGGGGGCTGCAATGGGGTCCCTGAGCTGGGGATCACAGGCATTGCCTCTGCCTTTGACCTCCTGCCTTGGCTGGGTTGCTCTGGGGGCAAGGGGGACCCCAGGGATGGGGAAAGTGGGGTTCAGCCTGACCTCAGCTCCTCTCTTCCAGACAGCCGGGCTGCACTTTCGGCACACGGATAACATCAACCACTGGCGTGATGCCATGAGCCACGTGGGGCTTCCCTCGGTAACGCCTCCCCTCTGCTCTCCCCAGCCTAGGGGCACTGGCCTTTGCCTTGTGGCACTGCTGGGGTGTGCTGATATGGCAGGGGGGCTTTGTCTTTGCCCTCACTCTTTGACACCAGCCAACCCTGGGGACTGTCTCGCTGCCATTGTCCCTGATGTGTCTCTGTCTTGCTGGCAGATCTTCCACCCAGAGACCACTGACATCTATGACAAGAAGAACATGCCCCGGGTGGTCTACTGCATCCATGCACTCAGGTGGGTGCCCTGGCCTGGCTCTCATGGAGCGTGTTCATGCTCATCAGCCCTTTGGTGGTGTCACCTGTCAGCCTCAGGTGACACAGAAGCGTCAGGAGGGATGTCACCATGTAGGTTTGTATTTCAGCTTCTACCTCTTCAAGCTGGGGCTGGCTCCTCTGATCCAGGACTTGTATGGGAAAGTGAACTTCACAGGTATGTGCAGGGACACCTGGGCTGGGACTTGCCAAGGGGGGTTTGCCACCAGTGCTCTGGGGTCCCGTGGAGTGAAAGCCTTGGATGCCTTTTGCCAAAGCTGCCTCAGGGATGCTCACCCCAGTGTGGGGGTTTTCTGCACCCCTCTTGGTCTGGCAGGGGAGTGGGGGCTCTGCTGGCTGCCCCTGCTCCAGCACTGGGCTGTGGGGCTGGTGCTGAGCTGCGCTGCCTCTGCTCTGCTCCAGAGGAGGAGATCAACAACATGAAGCGGGAGCTGGAGAAGTATGGGCTGCAGCTGCCTGCCTTCAGCAAGATTGGAGGCATTCTGGCCAACGAGCTCTCCGTGGATGAAGCAGCAGGTGATGGGTGCCTGGTGGGGAGCAGGGCTGGGTGTCACCCTGTAGCAGGATTTTGGCTCAGCTACCGAATCTTGTATTTTTGGGGTTCCCAGATGAAGGAAGGAATGATGAATCTGACTCCGTGTTCTTAGAAAGCTAATTTAGTATTTTATGATACTATATTGTATTGTATTTTCAAAAGCTAAAAAATATTTTTAATACATATATAAATATATATATATATATAAATATATATATACTATACTAAACTATACTAAAGGATACAGAGAGAAGGCTAGAAAGATAATAATGAAAACTCGTGACTCCTTCCAGAGTCCCAACACAGCTTGACCTTAATTGGTCATTAAATCAAAACAATTCACATGATACCAATGAAACAACCACCTGTTGGATAAACAATCTCCAAACACATTCCAAAACAGCAAAACACAGGAGAAGCAAATGAGATAATGTTGTTTCCCTTTTTCTCTGAGGCTTCTGAGCTTCCCAGGAGAAGAATCCTGGGCAAGGGGATTTTTCCAGAAAATATGACGGTGACAAACTGAATGCCAAATTTGGGGCCAGCAAACTGGGAGGGGGTGCCCTGGGAGGTGATGGTGATCTGGGATGCAGTGGGAGGCACCTGGTTGTTCTCTCTGAGCCTGGCACAAGGCTGCAGGTGCTGGCACAGCCATTGCTAGGCAGTTCTGCATTCCCTGGATTTCTGTGAGACTTCTCAGGTGGTGAGAACTCCAGCTGGGTCCCAGAAAGGGTGGGTTCCCACCATTGCCTGTGGAATGTCTTGTCCCACTGCGTGCAGGGATAAAGCAGAGGGTCCCTCCTGCCCCTCTGTGTCCCATCTCACCCTCTGTGTCCCTCCCTGCCCCACCTGCAGTCCACGCTGCTGTGCTGGCCATCAACGAGGCTGTGGAGCGAGGGGTGGTGGCCCAGACCATGGAGACCCTGCAGAACCCCCACGCCATGCTGGTGGGGCTGCGCCAGGAGCTGGCAGGTGCCTACCAGGAGGTGCTGCACCAGGCCAAGCTGGAGAAGGGCAGCAGTGCCAGGAACAGGGTGAGTGAGGGGGGCACAGGGGGCTCTGGGGTGGATGGGAGAGGAGCAGCCCCTTTGCTGATGAGGAGGGGTCCCTTGGCCAGAGACCATAGGGCTTGCTGGCTGAAACACAGCCTGGGAGCCCTTGTGCTGAGCAGAATCATCTCAGCAGGAGATGTTTCCTCTTTGGGGGCTGGTTCATGTGACGGTGTTCACAGGGGTCTGAGGATGAGGGAAGAGATGAGGATCTGACTCCATGTTTCAGAAGGCTTGATTTGTTATTTT